TCCTAAGATCAGGAACAGGATAAGGGTATCCATTCTTGCTGCTTCTAGTCAACATTGTCCTGGAGGTTCTAGCTAGGGCAACTACGCAAGAATAAGAAATAAAAGTCATCAGGTTGGAAAGGAAGATGCAAAGCTATCTCTAATCTCCAGTGACATGATCTTATATGTAGAAAATCCTAAGGAATCCACACACCAAAAATTGAAGTTAATAGACAAGCTCAGCAGGTTGCAGGACATGAGATCAATTGTACACTATAATGAACAATCCAAAAATGAAATTAAGAAAACAATCTTATTTATAAGAATGTAAAAAATTGCTTAAGAATAACTTTAACAAAAGAAGTGTAAGACTCGTGTGCTGAAAATTACACAACATTGTTCAAAGAAATTAAAGGCCTAAATAAATGGAAAAATATTGTGTGTTCATCCCTGGAAGATTTAATATTGTCAAGATGGCAATAGTCCCCAGACTGATCTATGGATTCAACACAATCTCTGTTAAAATACCTTCTGGCATTTTTTTTTTAAATAGATCCTAAAATACGTATGGAAGTACAAGGGACCCCAATAGACAAAACAGTCTTGAAAAAGAAGAACAAAGTTGGAGGACTCAAAGGTGTCAAAACTTCCTACAAAGCAAAAGTAAACAAGAGATTGTGGTACTAACATAAGGATAGGCATATAAATCAATGGAAGAGGATTGATTGTACAGAAATAATCCCCACATTTCATAAACAAGGATGCCAAGGCAATACAATGGAGAAAGAATAGCTTTCAACAGGTGGTACTGGGACAACTGGATGCAACTGGATGCAAAAGAATAAATTCGATCCCTGTCACATACTATATTCAGATAACTTAAATGTATTACAAACCTAAAAGTAAGAGCTAAAACTATAAAACTTTTAGTAGAAAAAATAGGTGTATATTTTTGTACCTTGGACTCGGTAGCAATTTCTTAGATATGACAGCTAAAGTATAAGCAACAAAAGAAAAAAATAGATAAATTAGACTTGATCAAAATTAAAAATGTCTGTATTTCAAAGGATACCATCAAGAAAGTATAAAGACAGCCCCCAGAATGGGAGAAAATATTTGCAAATCTTATGTCTGATAAGAATCTAGTATCCAGAATATATAAAGAACTCTTACAACTTCAACAATAAGAAAAACAACCCAGTTTAAACGTGAACAAATAATTTTAATACATTTCTCCAAAAAAGATATACAAATGGCCAATAAGCACACAAAAAGATATTTAACACCATTAGTCATTGGGGAAATGCAACAATAAGATACCATTTCATGCCCACTAAAATAAAAAAGATGGACAATAACAAATATTGGGGGAGGATGTGGAGAAATTGGAGAATTGGTGAAATTGGAACTCTCATACATTGCTGGTAAAATATAAAATGATAACACCACTGGCAGTTTCTCTAAAGGTTAAACATAGTTACTATATAACCTAGCAATACCTTGTTCACACAAAAACTTCTACATGAATATTCTTAGCATCATTATTCAAAATAGCCCAAAATAGAAACAATTCAAATGTCTATCATGATGATGAATACATTTTTTTAAAAGTAGTATATGTATGCAATGGGTTATTAGTCAGACATAAAAAGGAACGACATACTGATACATGCTACAGGATGGGTGAACCTTGAGAACATTATGCTAAGTGAAAGAAGCCAGGCATATTTAGGCCATATATTACATGATCCCATGTATATGAAATGTCCAGAATAGGTAAGTTTATAGAGATAGAAAGTAGATTAGTGCTTTTCTAGTGTGGGATGATAGGGGATGACAACTAATGATTACAGGATTTCATTTTGGGGTAATGAAAATATTGTGAAATTTAGTTGGTGGTGATAGTTTCCCATTTTATGAATATAGTAAATACCACTGAATAACATACCTTAAAATGGTAAATTTTATGATATGAGAATTATACCTCAATAAAAGGAAAAGTAAATGATTTTAAAATAGTAAAATCATCATTTGATCACATTTGGAGATTGCAATGACATGAACTCATTCTGAAAACTGTTAAATATATGGAAGTAATTCTTTACTAACAGGGTAATCAAATAGCTGATAAGCAAAAGCTTTTTTTACAAAATAGTTTCTCTGAGAATGTAAGTAATAAATGCAGAAGGCCTGATAGAATAAATGATTTTGTTACACCTACTGTGTAATGATCGTGATTGGCTGTTAATGAGGGCACTTTATAATGGACGTCTTAGTTCAGTTGTTTCCAACCTTTTTGGAACAAGGGGCCAGTTTCATGGAAGCCAGTTTTTCTATGGACTGGGGGGGTTCATTGGGGGGAAGGATGGTTTCGGGATGATTCAAGTGCATTACATTTATTGTGCAGTCAAACCTCTCTGCTAATGATAATCTGTATTTGCAGCCACTCCCCAGTGCTAGCATCACCGCCTTAGCTCCACCTCAGATCATCAGGCATTAGATTCTTCACAAGGAAAGTGCAACCTAGATCCTTCCCATGCACAGTTTACAGTAGGATTCACTTTCCTGTGAGAGTCTAATACCACCACTGATGTGACAGGAGGCAGAGCTTACATGGTGATGGGAGCAATAGGAAGTGGCTGTAAATACAGATGAAGTTTCCCTAGCTCTCCCGCAGCTCACCTCCTGCTGTGTGGCCCAGTTCCTAACCGGCCACAGACTGGTACCAATCCACAGCCCAGGGGTTGGAGACTGCCATCTTAGTCCATTTGAGCTGCTATAACAAAATTCCACAAGCTGAATAACTTATAAGCAACAGAAGTTTATTTCTCACAGTTCTGAAGGGTGGGAAGTACAATATTAAGGTGCCGGCAGATTCAGTATCTGGTGAGCACCCACTTTCTCATTCCTAGAGGGTGCCTTCTTGCTGTGTCCTCACATGGTAGAAGGGATGAGGGGTCTCTCAGGCCTCTTTTATTTGGGCACTAATCCCATTCTTGAGGGCTCTGCTCTGTTGACCTAATCATGTCCCAAAGGCCCCTGCTACTAATATTGTCACCTTGAGGGTTAGGATTTCAATGTTTGAATTTTAGGGGGGCACAAACATTCAGACTATATCAGGATGGATCAGACTGATAGTGCTGGACCCCAGTGATCCATATTAGTATTACTATTAATAAAAGAATGTGTGTCTCCTGCCTCTAGCCTACTGAATCAAACAAAGGAGTTTTGTTTCTAGGGGATACCCTTTCACTTTGTAAAACAGTCTTCTACACTTTTCTTTAGGGTTTGCGTTTCTCAATATCTCCAGGCAATTCTGTTTTAACTTTACTACATCTATCAGTCTTTGTCAGGCAGTGTGGTTTAGGGCAAGATGGAGTTTGTGTTTCTGTTTTTCTTCTTTCGTTGGTGGTGGTGGTGCTGGAGGTGCTGGTGGCGCTGGTGGTGGTGGTGGTGGTGGTGGTGGTGATTGAGATTTCTGAGAGGCGGCAAGGTCCCAGGTGTCTTTTACTAAGTCATCTTAGACCAAGGAGTCTTTGGGAACTATTTCAATTAGGGTAAGAGATAATCAAGACCTGAGCTAGGACAGAGGTGATAATGATAAAGTAACAAGATGAATTGATTTATTGTTTGGGGATATTGGAAAGGACACGTAGTAGGGACTCCATTGATATTTGTTGAGTGTTGAATGAGCATAAGTAGATCTGTCCAGTTTTAGGATTTCATTGCAATTCTGATATGAATTGTGCCAGTACATCTGTAAAGTTCACTTCTAGGTTCTTCGTGGGTGAATTGAGTCAGTTCTAGACTTCTAGAGGAGAAGTTGCAAACTAGCAGCCATCACTGTTTTATTTGGTCTTCATAGTGGTTTTTTTTTTTTCTTTAATTTGTTGCTGACATTTCAAAATAGTGAAATTTCACATAAAAACCAGAGTTTCTGGCTTGTATTGAAAAAGGAAAAGATCTGGCAACAATGGGCTTATATTTCTTCATGGCTGCAACTCAGCTGATGCTGAATAGTTATTGCATTACACACAGTCCACTGCTGCCTCTGTCACTCACTGGTCCTTGTGGGCATTTGAGTTTGTGACCCTTACTGCATTGCTTTCAGGAAGCTGTTTTCTAAGTCTTACATTGTTATTTTTAATAACCTTTCTTCTTGTATTATTTAACATACCGTGTGTTACGACACCTACCTAATTAGAGTATAAACTCCGTGATGGCAGTAAGTGTGTGTCTTCCATTTCTGGATATTCTCCATTATGCTGGGGAAGTTAGTACATACTTACACATCTCTACTCTGATTTGAAATTGAATAGGCCCGGGTAATTGAAAAGGCTCGATAATGCCATGACATTCAAGACATTTTTGTGATATTTCAAAGCATACTGACACATTGGTCATCTTAGAGAAAAGATTCATGTTTGTTAATGATAATTCTTACCTCTATTATATTTATTAATCAGTTATCTCAGATAATTTAAGGGTTAAAATTACTTGATTGGGTTACTGACATTGTGAGGTTAATAAACAACATTTTGGGGATTTTAACTATTTTCTTGGCCGTGTTAATTACGTGGATTCTTTGAACTTAGGTTTTATAAGTATTTTCTCATAGGTAAATGATTACAGAAAATAAATAGAAAGAACTGATATCTTTACTGGAATATTCATTGTCAGGAAGGATATGGAAAAATTAAATTTTTTTAAAAAAGTGTTATTTGATGATACAAAGTATAAAGACATAATGAAAACAGTTGATGGTAATATTAGAAATATAGGAAAAAGCTGTGTTGTGTTCATGTGGTTAGCTTGTAGAGCTCAATTTAAGAGGAAGTCTTTGAGTCAATTATAAAGTTTTTTGAAAGTTGTCTCTTTTTATTAACACAAACCATATTTTCTTTAGCCTTACACTAGCCAGTTGGGTAATGATTTTTGAGTATCTAGTTTGAACGTTGTCAATGTTGGTTTCATGCCATGAATATTTCTTAACCCGTATTGTATGTTTATTTTTACATCAGGTGAGAAATTCATCCACACTTCTTTTTAGTACCTTGATCACAAGAATTTTTGGAGTTAAAAAGGGAAAAGATGAACTTTCCAAAACAAATAGGTAAGCTCCATCTAATGCTAACTTTGCTTTTTACACAATATTGTCTTGGCCAAAAATAATTTTTGAAATTGTGCTTACTTTTATAGATTCATCTAGAGCATAAAACTATAAAAATACTATAATGAATTAACCTATGCTGCCAAATTCTAAGCCCTTGGGCAAAAATACCAACTGTTTAATAAGTGGACCTTTCAAAGTAACAAAAATTAGCAAGGCAGCAAGGACTGAAATGTAGAGCTTGTTTTTCAGTGCAATAGTGAAAGTTTTTTTCCTTTGGTATCTTCAAGTATTCCTAAAATGTCCTAAGTTACTTTTTCTTGATGTGTCATCAAGTTCTAGCTTGTGCAATCTTTAGTGTTATGGGTGGAAATTTAAATATTTGTGATACACTCATTAGAACATGTCCCAGATTACCTTTGCATTAAACTCTGGTATGGAGGGGAGCAGTTATAAATGTTGACCACAAGGAATAAATAATGCTTTTTACTTGTTGGTCTTTAGTTTTATGTTTACTTTCTAAGATGTTTTCTTCTTAACAGGGTTCATTAATGTCTAGAAGGAAACCTATAGAACCATTTTGATTATGGGTAATTTTTAGATATAATGCGTAAGTTTTGTTTGTTTTTACAGAGAAGCTTTGAATAATTATTTTTTAAAAAGCACCGAAGACGATTTAATGGTAGTCTAATTGGCTTGCAGTTTTTAACACTAGATGTCACTGTCGCTGCATGTTTAATTACTTCCTTAAATTCGTTTGGGATCCAGTTTGGCCCGGTGGTCTTGCTTTTGAGGATCCAGAGATAAATTCAGGCCCTATTCCTCTCCTGTCTAAAAAAGTTATTATGCTTCAAATTTAAGTTTTAAGCTGTTGTTAATTAAAATGTATTTTCTTGTGATGGAACTAAATCTTAGGAATTAAAAAATATCACGAAATCATTTTATGATGTACTAGTGATAATTTTAATGAAACCTGTGGTAATTCTGAATTATCATTTAAATTACTGCTTATCACTCTATAAAAATTCACCAGATATTTAAAAGGAAGGTAACGGCTGTAAGTATGAATCCCCTGAATAGGTTCAGGAAATACCAGAGAGCCCTTTTTTTTTTTTAACTGAGTAGTATTTTTAAAATAAATAAAACATTACTCCTTTTGAAGGATGATTACAATTTTTATTTTTTAGCTTGTTCTTAAAGAAATTCTTCCTGTCGGTAACTTGAAATCACTAATATTTGTTTCTCCTTAGCTTTGTCTATTTTGTTAATAATTCTTCAATGTGCTAAAGTTTAAAACAATTGGGTCATGTTATAAGGCCATGATAAATAGTGATATAAATAAAATAGTATATTAAGTCATCAAACAAATGAAATTAATGTTTAAAACTGAACTTGAAAATGAAGAAATGCCTTTTTTTAGTTTTTATGAAGTAGTTCTTGGAGATATAGATATATAACTGTGAGTTACTCTATATAGGAGAAAGTGATCAGATTTATTTAATTTGGATTACATCTGAAGGAGAGTGGAAGAATAGGGCAGTGGTACCACACAGTTTTAATCTTTTGCCAAAGTCACAGTGATGGAGAAAACTTCCTTATAAAGTTCTTCCTCTTGCATAGGAAAGGTTATGAAATATATTAATATAAGTTTCCTAGAAAGAGAGAAATGGAATATTTGTATAATTGTTTTGAGTAAAGTTGAAAAGCGAAATGAAATTAAGTTAATAATTATTTTTAAATGCGATGAACTATTTGGTAAGAGCCTTTACTTCAATAATCTGAAGATTGATATATACCATTACATATATAAGGCTTCTGTTCTCTGTTTAACTCTTGAAAAGTGTATTTCTTGTCAGCTCCTATTAGATTTGCTCTGCAAAACCTTTAGTGTCTTAAATTTGCAGTTATTTGTGATGCTTCTTGAAGTTATAGTTTGTTTAATTATGTCACTTTTTGCTGAAATGTTTATGCCTGTGCCCTATAATATTAACTCCCCAAGGGCAGGACCTTTTCCGTATATTCTGTGTATAAAATGGGCACTTTAAGAATGCTAGTAATAATGATGTCTTCTTGGTTGGTTTCTTAACCATCAAATAACTAACCTCAGCTGATGAAACCTCACAAGTCAGTTAAATTTACTTTCACAACCACAGATTGTCTTACCCACAATCTTGGAAATGTGTGCTTTTGGTCAGAAGGGAACTAGACATAAAAAGAACATCTGCTTTTTCCATCTAGTAGGGAAAAAATGTCTATCTTGGAGTAAACAAACTTGGTTTCTAGGCATTTTGCTGCTACTGGAGATGACCTTAATAGACTCCCTTATCCGCTTTGTACTTCAATTTCTCCATCTATATAACAGGAATAATAAGATCTATGCTCTGTACTCATAGGGCTATTGTGAGGATAAAACAAACTATTAGAGGTTCATTTTTTTTTTTGAAATTATTGGAAGTTCTAGGCGATTAGAGAGAGAGTTTATTTTCTCTCTCTGTTACCACTTCTGTGATTGTACTCATCCAGATGTCTTCCTCTTAAGACTGTGCTTTTTGAGGACAGGGTCAGTATCTTATCCATTTTTGCATATCTGGTGCCACCATAGTGTCTGGCATATAGGAGGTGTGTAGAAATAATTGCCTAACAAGTAAATTTTGTTACTAGAGGAGAGACAAGGAATCTGGGTTCTACTCCTGCCTTTGTTGCCATATAGCCATGATAATCAACTGAGACAAAGTAGTTAACCTCTTTGGGCCTTGATTTTTCTTCTCTGTAAAATAAGAGATTTGGACTCTCCCTGGGGTCTTTTCCCTCTATAAAATACTAAGCTAAGGCTTCACATAACGTTACTGGGTTGTGAGTTTGATAAAATGCTGTGTTCTGAGTGCCTGTCACATAGTGGGGACGAGAAGTTCCTGTTTCACATATAAAGAAAGGAGCAGAGGATCTGCCTCCCTGTTCATAAGTGAGTAGAGCGCACTGTAATTATTGAATTTTTGAACCCATCAGTCTTATTTCAGATTCATTCTTTGGATTATGAAGAATGAGAAAACACAAGTTTTACTTTTGTGTTTTTAAATAATGTTATTACTTTTTAATTTTCTGAAACTCCTTTCCTTTCTATTTATTATTGCCTGACTCACTTGACCTGATAGATAAGTAATTGATCCTATGTAAAATCAGAACCAACAAAGCTCTCTGACCTGGGGAGTGTGTTACACTTTCTAAAAAAGCCTCCAACTGCATGTGAGTGGGCTCACCTTGGTAGCTCCTCATTTCTTACAGGGCAGGAGCTAAATCAATGTGATCTTTAACTCCAGGTCTTTCCCTTTCACACCTATGTCTATTAACCTCAACTGTGCTAGTTCCTGCTAAAAGACAAGTGTCAATACACAGCAATCTGAAAAGCTTTATTTTTGACTTGTTGGAGTGTCTGCCTTGCCAAAACTTCATACAGGTCCTCAGTGTGCAGTGTTACATAGCTTTTGTACTCTCCCTTCATTTTAAATCAATTAGTGAACCAATAAGAATTTGAAAGCACTTATCATGAACTCAGTATTGACATGGTAGAGGAGTACAAGAGAAATATAAAATTTGGACCTTGCTCAAAGAGCTTACAGTTCAGCTAGGGAGACAAAAATTGTTACTTGTAAATCAGATAAAAATAGAAGATACCGGCCGGGCGCGGTGGCTCACGCCTGTAATCCTAGCTCTCTGGGAGGCCGAGGCGGGCGGATTGTTGGAGCTCAGGAGTTTGAAACCAGCCTGAGCAAGAGCGAGACCCTGTCTCTACTAAAAATAGAAAGAAATTAGCTGGGCATGGTGGTGCATGCCTGTAGTCCCAGCTACTCGGGAGGCTGAGGCAGGAGGATCGCTTGAGCCCAGGAGTTTGAGGTTGCTGTGAGCTAGGCTGATGCCACGGCACTCACTCTAGCCCAGGCAAAAGAGTGAGACTCTGTCTCAAAAAAAAAAAAAAAAAAAAATAGAAGATACCATATAATAATCACCTGCACAATGTGTTATGAGTAATGAATGCATCAGAACTTTATCAGTGGGAGAATTGAGTGGAGTATTTGGGAGAAAGTAGTGTTTCCCATGGGGATAAGTATATTGGGGGTACATGGAAACAGGTAGCTTGAAAAAGAGAAACGAAAAAATAATTTTATTTACCGTGTTGTTAAGCACAGTCTCTATTGTGTCTAATTAAAGAGAGCTCATATTCAAATTAATAATTTAGGATGGTTTAATACAGTTAACGAGAAAATGTTAAAGCATCACTAAGTCTGAGTAAAATTATTTCCAATGACTATATTAGGAGATGTTAAATTATATTTATTTTATTTTCCTGAGTATAAATGACAGAGGATTGTTTTAGTTATTAGTTATTTTAGTTATAGTTGGTTTCTTAACATTTGGTGTAGGTCTGGAAGGATCCTCCAAGGGGCATCTAATCCAGTCAAGCATCCTGCTTATAGACAGATTTTGAAGCAATTTTCAGACAGACTGGCTTCTCTCCTGTTTTTCATGTTTTCTAGGAAAAGAGATTCCACAAGTTTCTGTGGTTACCCGCTCCATTGTTTAGGAAAGAATTGGGTTCTCAAAACTAAAATTGAGAGCTGCAGGGCAATTGGGTTTTTATGTTTTAGAGAATGTAATTATTAGAATTCAAAATAGCTTATTTGCTTTGAACTACATAGTAGCGCATAGCAAGTACCTATTCAGCCAAATTGAAAATCAGAATTTTCTTTGACCATGGCCAGGATAACATTAACATCCTCAAACCCAAAGAATTCTCATTTTCTCCATTTAACAAGCATTTATTATGTTTTTACTCTGGGCTAGGACCTCTGCTGGTTCCTGGAATCCAAAAATGAATCCGAAATACTCTCTGCCCTAGGGGAACTCGCCTTATGATGAGAAATGAGGCAGTTATATGTGGTGTTGGAGTCTCTGTGAACACTTGTGTAGAAGGAAGGGAGAAATTGTGAAGGGAAGTAGCATTTTTT